CCCGCCGCCACCCCTCCCGCCACGCATCTCGGGGCATCGTCACCCCGGGACCCCAGTGGCCCGCCTAGAGCTGCGAGGAGTCCCGCGGCCTGTCTGGGGTCTGGGTTCCGTTCGGGAAGGCCTCCAGCCCCAGTTCCCCCCGCAGGGCGGTTCTAAAGCTAAAGGCCCCGATGCCGCTGGAGAAACGGGCGCTACCAGCTCTCAGCCCGCGAGGTTGTGTCACTAGTGGGAGAGCAGGTGTGAGAACCGCAGGCACCTGCGCCCTGGCTCTGCGGGCAGATGTTTAAAGTCTCCATCCACGTTCTGTCTGTGCCCAGAAGCAGCCTGAGAGGGTGGCTGACGGCTTGGCTCTGGCCGATGGGTCCCTTGTTGGTGCTGTTTCCTTGTCTGACTCTGATTTCCCCGAAAACAACCTGTCACTTGTGAGGGCCAGGCCCCCAGGGGGGGTGACTTCCTCGCCCTGGGAGAGGGGGTTCGGGCAGCTTCCCTCGGGTGGAGCACAGACTGGAGAGGGGTCCCAGGTCATCGCTCAAGGCCCGGGATGAGCTTCGACATCACGGGGCCTCCAACCTGACCACTGGGCAGCTAGGAGGGGGAAGCTGCTCCCTGGGCGCCCCTCCTCTCACCTCTAGCCTCTGAGTCACCCTCCCCGCCTCCCCTCGGCCTCCCTCCGGGCCCCTCTCTTTCTGGGTTGGACAAGGAGTCTGAAATAAAGAGGTGGGTTCAGTCTGAACCTGAGTCAGACCCCAGCCCAGAGGAGTCCTCAGGTACCTGAATGGGAGCAGTTAAGTGCCCACCTGGGCAGGCATTGGGCTGGGGTGGACGCCCAGCTGGGCGGTTGGACCCCCCACCCCCCCTCCACGTGGCTGAGTCACTGCCCATCCCTGAAGTGCAGCCTGGAACAGGCTTGGTTAGCGGAGTGAGTGGCCTTCAACCCCTCCTGACAGTGGGCACACAGCACCGGCAGAGCTAGAGGGGTAGCTTCAGCCCCACCCAGTGCAGCCCTTAGAGAAAGGGCCCCTGGGCTGGGGAACAGGAGACCCCATGTGCTCGGCTCCTTGGGCTGAGAGTGTAAGTGCAGAGATGGGCCTGTCCTGGCTGAAGCCGCTCCCTTTCCGCAGGAAGGGTCAGTGGGTGGAGTTTCCACCCCATTCCCTGCTCAGCTGCCCTGGACCAGGCAAAGTGACTTTGGGGACAGGAGGGGGTGGGGGGGGAGGAAGGCGAGTGCAGGGAGGAGGAGGAACACCCCAGGAGTGGCCTCGGCAGGACAGGGGGCCCTGGGGACACAGGAAAGCAGGCTTCATCCTGGACAGGAACTTGACCCTCTGCAGAGCTCACCCACCCGGCCTCTGGAGGTCCCGGGCAGCCCATGGGGATGCTGTGCTCACATGGTTAGAGCAGGGAGGCTGAGGGGACAGGTCACCGGCTGCCAGGGGACCACACGCCCAGGCTCCTGAACAAACGACCTCACAGCCCCTTCGAGGTGCCACTGGGAGGGGAGCCAAGGGCTCCGGAGAGCCTGCAGGACTGCCTAGCCCACCAGGCCCCCCTCTACTTGGCACAGGACGCTGTTTGGAGCTGGCTCACAGGCATGAAAGGGGTGGGCGCCTCCCTCAGGCCTGCAGGCTCCCTGGCCCCTGGCCTCCCGCCCTGGTGCACCTGCTCCAGGACTGACAATGAGCACCTACCTCAGGTGAGTCATGAAACATGAACCATGGCCTTTTGGGTGTCTCCCCTGACACACACACACACACACACACACGGATTCAAATCAGAGAACCTTTGCAGCCAGGCTCTTAGAATCTCAGTGACTGAGAGTCAGCCCTCTCCTCAGTGGGGACCCCCCAGATCTACCTCACCTTCACCACCCCCTTCCAGCCACCCGGCTTCTCCAGGCGCCTCCTGAGTGCTTTACAGCCTTCCGGCCCCCTCTCCCCCCCCACACACACACCCCAAGGGGAGGCACTCAGAGGGAACTGAGCTTGGGGAGGATGTGCAAGTTGCCGCAGTCCTGCAGCCAGAACCGGGGGAGCCTGGGTGCAGCTCCTGGTCCCTGCACCCTGTGCTGCCTCCTCCATGGCACCCCCAGTGCCTGGGATCCACATGCAGTTGCCACAGCTGCAGCAGCGGTGGCCTGGTCACCCCTGCCGCCCCCCAGCCCTGGTGCCACCTGCTGCTGTGTGAGCCCTCAGTGCTGCTAGGGAAGGGGCTCTTTGCCTGGGAGGGAGCAGTGTCCAGAGAGGCGCGCTCACATCTCCGCAGTAAAAGCCCGGGTTCCTCATCTCTGCCCTCACACAGAGATGCCCACTGGCCTCTGGTGATGTGCAGAGACCGGGTGCCCACCACCCTTAGGGCTGTGCAGCTAGCAGTCCTATAGCCAGCAGGCCAGCGGCACTGGCTCAGCCTTCAGACGAGAAGGTGACCTGACCCGGGTCCCACAGCTCAATTTTCACAGCTGGAACCTCTCGTCTCCCATGAGGCCCCCCAAACCCCACCGTGTCCCACGCAGCCAGACGTCTCCCTGAACAATAGGGCCCGAAGGCAGCTGTTTTGTGTGGGTCATCCGGTCACTACAGGGATGCTGGGCTGAGTCACTGGCGGCTGTTGGGTTCTCTCAGGGGCAGGAAGCTCACAGCTCAGTGCCTCACTGAGCGAGTGCCACCCGCTCGCTGGGCCCAGCGGGGCTCAGAAGCTCCTGAGTGATGTTTGCACTGCCTGCACCGCTGCCCGCGTTTTCCCGGCAAGGACCCAGGGCCTCCCCTGCTCCTTGCATCCCTGCGCAGGGACCAAGCACAGGGCTCCCACTTACCAGCCTGGGAGCAGAGCTGGGCCCCCATTGGGTCTGGAAGAAGTTGTCTGAAGAAGCCAGGAGACAGGTTTCCGAAGTCTCCACTGGTCCCTTGTTATGGGCCCGGCTCATGTTACAAGTTGATGATTAATTAGAAGTTGCTGTCACGAGTTACAATATCCAGGGAATTTCCTGATGCCTCTTGGCTGCGCGGCCAGCACGAGGGAAGCATTGTCATTGCCTGAGGCATGTTAACAAGTACCTGTGCCCACACCTGACCCGGAGGCCCTGGTTCCAGAGGCCAGGGTGGGGCCAGAATCGGTCATTTCTAGAATCACCCTGGTAGCCCAGCCGGAGTGGCTCAGTTGGTTGAGCGCTGTCCTGTGCACCGAGTGGTTGCCAGTTCGATTCCTGGTCAGGGCACATACCTGGGTTGTGGGTTCGAACCCCGGTAAGGGGTGTGTGGAAGGCAACCCACTGATGTTTCTTTCTCAATTGATCTCTCTCTCTCTCCCTCCCTTCCTCTCTTTAAGCATGTCCTTGGGTGAGGATTAAAACAACAACAAAACCGCCCTGGTAGGCTGTAATGTATAGCCAGGGCAGACATTTGCCCTTTGCTGGGGCTGAGGGTCCACCTTCCAGAACCCACCCCAAAGTGAGAGTTATCCCCAGGAGGTGGGGCCAAAGGCCTGGCTCCCAGAGCGTCAGCTGTGACGAGGCCAGGGAGCCTCTCCCTCCACCCACAGGGACCTGAGGCTGGGGGAGGGCAAGTGGCTGCCTCTAGCTTCTCACTTTTCCACGTGCACACGGCTCTCCTGATTTTTTACAGAGAGGAAGGGAGAGGGATAGAGAGTTAGAAACATCAATGAGAGAGAAACATCGATCAGCTGCCTCCTGCACATCTCCCACTGGGAAGTGTGCCCGCAACCAAGGTACATGCCCTTGACTGGAATCGAACCCGGGACCCCTCAGTCGGCAGGCCGACGCTCTATACACTGAGCCAAACCAGTTAGGGCTCCTGGGGAGCTTGTAAAGTGTGGATTGATTCGGAAGGTCTGGGAGTGCCTGGCAGCCTGCTTTCCCAAGGGGGGGGGGCTCTGTGGACCCTACTTTAGAGACGAGTCCTCAGTCTGGAGGCTTGTGAGTACCTTGGCCTCCACCTCCTGGCTGACCCCTTCCCAGGACCCCAGGTCAAGGCCATGATCAAGCCCTCCAACCTGGCTAAAGGGACGGATACCCCCACGCACGTCCCTGGAGCAGCAGGAGGAGCGGTGCCAGCGACGGGGCTGGGGGGTGGGGTGTGGAGGCCCAGGATGTACCCCCTGTGTTTCCTTGTCCTCCCTGGCCCTGGTGTCCCCGTGTGTGACAGGAAGCCAGCATGAACTGACGTGGGTCCTTCCCAGCCCCGATGTGCGTGACTTCAGCAGCTGTCACTGCCACCTGGCCTTCTCCTCCACACCATGCACCCTGCCAGGCGCCCTCGGGTCCCCTCGAGAAGCAAAGGCCAGAGGCAAACTGGTGGGAGGTCAGCAGCAGTGACCACGATCCAAGGTGGATGGTGCCAGCTGGCCCAGCCTGGGGGACCCAGGCACAGGGCACCCCTTCTCTCTGGGAAGTTTGGGGCCCAGAGATCCTGCCTTCTCCTCCCCTCCCCCCACCCGTTCCACCTGTACCACTGGCTGGCTTGGGCGGTCCCCAGAGGGCTGTAGCCATGAGCATTCTGTTGATAAACCACACTCCTGTAAAAGAGGTAATTGTGGAACCTTATCAGAGAAATCAGGTTGTGAACTTGGCC